CTCTCTCTCTCTCTCTCTCTCTCTCTCTCTCTCTCTCTCTCTCTCTCGCGCGCGCGCTCTCTCTCTCTCTCTCTCTCTCTCTCTCTCTCTCAGGCTCTCTCTCGCGCTCTCTCTCTCTCGCGCTCTCTCAGGCTCTCTCTCTCTCGCGCGCGCTCTCTCGCTCTCTCTCTCGCGCGCGCTCTCGCTCTCTCGCGCGCTCTCTCGCGCGCACGCTCTCGCTCTCTCGCTCGCGCTCTCTCTCGCGCGCATGCTCTCTCGCGCGCTCTCTCTCTCGCTCGCGCTCTCTCTCTCGCGCGCATGCTCTCTCGCGCGCATGCTCTCTCTCTCTCTCGCTCTCGCGCGCTCTCTCTCGCGCGCTCTCGCGCTCTCTCGCGCTCGCTCTCGCGCTCGCTCTCGCTCTCGCGCTCTCACAATAGGGAGCGGTGCATACAAGGCGGTTTAGTCTCTGAACTAATTGGGTGTGTTGTACTCTAAAATTAGATCTGTGGCAAAACACAAGTTTACGATACTTTCACGCGTTGTTCAGCTGGATAGACTAACCAACAGTTGAAGGGTGAATACAATTGCCGGAAGCAAACAGCTACAGTATAAACAAACTACTACAACCGGCATTTTTATGACACGTAAAGCTTCCGACGTTCACCAGAGGGCAGATTCCTGATGTGTTTTGTATCTTAGAACACAATGTGAGAATTGCTGTAAGCTTTTATTAACCATAGACCTTATTTTGGGACTTGAAGCTAATACAAAAACAAACAGACATTGACTTCAAGACAAGGGAGCATTTAGGACTCATGCTGCACCATTGTTTCACAGGTCAGTTGGGGGATACTATGCACCAGGCCCACAAATTGGGAATGTGAACCCTGACCCCAAAATCCTCTTATCAGTTGAAATTACACAAAGGACCCTTATTTACTGGCCTGTGCAGAATTCCAGATTAGGCTCATTGTCTAACATTTTTAGCTGCTTCTTCACCATGCTGATTGCAATCGCTCACCTTTTTCCCCCGTACTCCACTTCAGCATGAGGTCTACGGCATAGATGGCCCGGGATGGCGGGTAGGAACAAATACCGTACGGAGGCGGTCGAGACGAGGCTGCCTCGAAGAACTCCCTGAACGCTTTAAACACCTCAGCCTGGGAGCGGTGGGAAAAGAAAGAAAGGGAAGTCTTATTGTGTTAAAATGTAAGAGGTTACATATAATCAAATATTGTTAGAGTGATTGTTGTGTACGCTGTAATGGAACATTGTATAATGCTGGGGGAGCATTCAAAGTTCACCATGTGTTCTTCTTCTTAAGCTTTTTCTAACACAATGTTTGACAGGAAGCAGTAAACATGTCTTAACCTACATGAGACGTAAATGATGAGTTATTTGTTATTGTAAGGTTGGTGGTCTTCTCCTTTTAAGGATTTTTTTTTTTGTATGATGTGATTGATGATTTGATATGAATGATAAGTGCGGCACGTCGGCGCCTGCACTCACAGTGTCGTGGACTGTACGCAATGCTCTGAGTTACTTTGCTCCGGTTACTTATGTTGCCGCAGATATTTCAAGGGGACCTATCATGCAAAATACACTTTTGTGCAAATATGATGTCTTTTATACATAAATATGTGTCCCCGGTGCGTCTGGGAACTCACGCAGCATCAGAAAATAAAACCCTCTCTCTTTTCCTCCGTACCCAAATGTTTTAAAAACGGGAGTACAACGAGCGGATACAGATTTCCATCCGAACTGATGCGTCCATCCGAGGTGACGTCGGCGGACCCACAGAAAGTTTCCATCAAAAACAATGCCTGACGTGTTTTGGACATCTTTGTTTACATTAGCAAGCCTCACTAACACTCATATGGAGCTATTTCAGGGTCATGAGTTTTGATCATTAAAAAAAATACAATTTATTAAGTTTTTATCCTGAACTTTGAAAAATACAATGATGTATTCAAAATAAAATTAAGTATTTGAAATCATTTTTCAGGTTGAATTCGCGAGAAATATAACTCAATTCTTTCTCAGATACCGCTCTCCGTGAGACAGCGGAGGATGTGCGTCAGGTCCACCAAAACAACCTGCTGGCTCGTTGCGGATACGTCATTTCACACTCTAGCACAGTTTATTGCGCTTATACCTTGATTGTTGCCAACTACGATGCTCAACAGCTCGCTTAACGGAACTTTGACGCTGGTATCAGTTTTGTTTACCACCAATCACGGGAGTATTGTGTATAGAAAGTGTTGTTATATTTCTCGCGCTACCTAACATCCATGAAGGCAACATGACAGAGGGAGGCCTGCCACCCAGGATGCCAAACTACTCTTTGGTAAGCCCCGCCCCCCAAGCAACGTCAGGGCCAAAAGTTTGAAAGCAATAAAAATATATCTGAAAGCGAAAAACGATCTGAAGGTGAAAAGCAATGTGAAACCTGAAAAAACAAGATTTGAAACTGAAAAAATAATTGTTTTGAATGCTGTTAACGTCGGTCTGTACAGCAGCACTGCGCTAAACCAGCTGATCACAACGTTCACACGCGCTGTGGTCACGAAGCTCTGCACTCCACTGCACTCCACTACCTACCACCACCCCCCCCACCCCCGTTGACATTCGCGATACAGAGGGCTTCATGGGAACTTTGAGGGGAGCTTCCCATGAAGCCCTCTGTATCGCGAATGTCAACGGGGGTGGGGGGGGTGGTGGTAGGTAGTGGAGTGCAGTGGAGTGCAGAGCTTCNATGAAACGTCAAGCTACCCCACAGCACCCCCAAAATAAATCTCTGGCGCCGCAACTGACTATTTGTGTTTGGGGGGCCCGACTTTTTTTTTCTCCAAAGGGGGGGCCTGATAGAAAAAGTTTGAGAACCACTGCATTAAGCAAAGGCTAACGTAGCCGGGCCACTAACCGACTTACCAGCTTTCCCAAAACGTTTCCTTACACTGGGAGCCTCCTGCTCCCTCCATGGCTCCTCACACAACTGAGCAACTCTGTGTGCTTTGTCTCCCTTGAGGGAGTGATTAGCACCAGGTGTGAGGTCTCCACCCCTGCTCCCAATACTGCTAATTTGAAGAGGGTGGAGCCACCTGTTGGGAATGTAGGTGCCTACTACTACCCTGCCTCTCAGCCCCTTACACAGGATATGAATTATCCAATTAGCAAAGACTATACGTTTGCACATGACATCATACACACTTTTCCTTACATGAACTAACACACGAACCTCAATGTTTTCTCTCTAACTGTATTATAATCTTATAAAGATCTCTTTGGTCTTCCGCTGACCTTGGTAATTTACTTAGCGTGGGTACATCTGCTGATAATTAGCAAAGAGATAATGGGGCCTCTCTGACCTGTGTTACCTTAATGAATAAGCGAGAAATACGCTGTATAAGGAATCTTCCTATCACTGCCCATCTTCAGAGCAATTTGACAATTTTTACCAGGGGTGCACACAACTTTCTCAGTGAGGTACTCAGATGAGTACCTGGAGTCAGTGTTTGGTACTCCAACTTCTGGCTCCCCTCAAAGTTCCCATGAAGCCCTCTGTATCGCGAATGTCAGCGGGGGGGGGCTAGTGGAGTACGAAGCCCTCTGTATCGCGAA